CAGCACCTTATGGACAGCATTTAGTGCCGCACGGTCCTCCGCTGCCACCGTTCCTTGAACCATTCACGGATCTAGTCGGTAAATGGGTTCCGCAGAAGTACCTCAGAAATCATTTCGCGATCGACCTCTCCAGCGAAAAACACTATAAAGAGGAATACATCAAGTTCGAAATCAATGACATGCCGCTTTTCGACCATCCGTCTTTGAACTATACGTAAGTGCAACTTGTACTTGATTTTGTCAGCAGCGGGATACTGTCGATGCCCTGTCAGTATAACTTAATACTTTGAGGTCGAAAGCGATAAGCGAAGATGACACGTTGGAAGAGTACGGCTTTCTGACCCTCAGCGAGCCGAAAAAGCCCCATCGAAGCGTCGGCCTGATTTTCATTACTAATACAGGTACGCTGTATTACCGACCGGATCCTTGTTAGTTCACTGCGGCTCTTGCAGGTCTGTCCGTCATGCAGGAAGGCTACATTGACGGAGGCTTAATAAAACTGACGACGGTTTACAACGTGCAATATGAGCCGTCGGCGGCCAGATCGAAGTACCTGACAGGCAACAGAACGCTCCAGTGGTCTAACGGCGTTTTGATGCACACGTACAACGACGACAAAGGATACCAATACAACCAGGTGTATACGAGGTCTACGAAAAGATGACAGTAACACGTGACATATTTCTGTTTAAACCATGAATCGTGGTGTGCATGTTGTCCAATCATTTGTTGAATGGGACAAACCTCGACCAATAGCCAATAGCTTTTTCAATAAAACAACTAACAAATACGTAAAATGAGGGTAGAGTCAATTCACAGTCACTCGGTGAATGGCTGTTGAAGCGTTCAGCAACGTGCAACAACCACATCGCTCGGGAAGTCACCTACAACTGAAGACTACAAGACACTTCTACTAAGTCAACATAAACGACTAGCGATGCACCTTGAAACATAAACGCAGCATGTTGTACGTGAAGATTTAAATAATTCATACCGGCACAAGGCAACGACAGAAGATGCTATCCGTCACGTGACTCGTCCTCGTTACGGCTAGGCGACAACGCAGGTCGACGCTCCTCCAGCATCCTCCATTCCCAACATTCTGCCTCGAACGCTGACCAACTAATTTGACAATCGGATCATCCCAGCGCGTCCTTGGACAGGCGGCTCGACGTTGGTAGGCTAGCGAAGCTCAGTTTGCATTTCTGACGACCGCGCGGCTGGCCAGTTTCTAGTGTAGCAGAAAGCACAGATGAAATACCTAAACTCAACCCGTTGTCGAATTTGTACGCTTCAAACATTATGCATTAAGGATACCTTTCTCGTTCTTCGTTCCATCGCAATTTGCGTCATTATCATACTTGGTTCTCCTCGGCTTTAGTAGCAGACCAACATTAAGTACCGTAAATCACGGCAGTACGGTCGAATCGAAAAGCAACTCCTAGTTGAGTGACAATATTTTAATACGGCTGAAGTTGGCCTATGCCGCCTTCCTTTTTCTACTGATTTCTTCGCCAAAAGACTTCATACGATCACCCTGTCAGTCGAGCATGCATACGTGGTCACATATTTAAGTTATTCATTACTTGCACAGACAGAGCCTTTGGGGCAGTGCTATTTTCACATGCATTTCGTCTTGATGAGGTCAACCTCCAATCTGTTCGTGAGATATTCTTCTTGCAACTGCTGAATGATGTTTCAACTTCATGGGGTCATATGCGAATACGATGCAATGATCCGCAAAGAACTGCGTTAACTCTTTTCATAGGTACTAATGCCGTTGCAATTGTTTAGCCTCTTGAAGAGTGACTAAAAGATCACGGCGAAAAGTGCTTAAGAGATGGTACCTCCTTGGCGTACTCGTCCTCTGATTCTGATGCGACATGGTTTGTCAAATAGCTTCGCATCAGACGTGCAACAGGCAGGTACTCAATTCTTCAGCCACGTTGACACAAACCGGGTTTATGCCATATTTTTGCAAAGGACTTAATAGAGCCGTCAATTTAATCCAGTCGAACCCTTTGCTGTGGCCGAAGAAGGCAAACCGGAGTGACACCTGATATTCATTGTCATTCTCCGTCAACTGCTAATTAAGACTGATGGTAGAAATCGCATTTCAGACTTGTGATTAGTTCAAAATCCTTCCGAATACGGTTGAGAATGATGTGGGTGAAGTTTGTAAATATGCTACAAAATGATTGGTTCACTGTCCTTGAGAAATTCGGATTCGCCTCTGCTTATGGAAAGAATTGCTATTGATACCTTCTACACTTAAGGCATCACGTTCTGCCTAACACGTTCCGTAAAACGCTTGGCAAGCACTTGAAACAGAAACGAAGAACGCCACACAACTGAGAAATTATCAGCCCAACAAATGAACGGTCGACTATTCTTCATTACATATTTGAATATATCTTATAGGGAGTAGAAGACGAAATAATCAGTCTAAATGATCGGACTGTCAACCCAATCCCGTTCATAACGAAATATGAGTAAATTTTTATGGTACTTAAAACCAGACTCTTTATGGGATTCCACTGTTCTGCTTCGATGATGAACCCAATTATGTTCACAGAATCATGACTGCTCATGTAAACGAAAAACAGACGGGAAGATCATCGCCGAAGGAATCCAGTATAACAAAGATATGGTCAACGAACCTTCAAAAACACATCACTTTGTACTAAAGGAAATTCAGCTATTTTTGTTTCAAATTGACCCACATGATTCATTCCAAATTCAGGTACGTTTAGAGACAAAACAAACTGCCGATGTTCCAGAGCAGCGACCGCATAATAGACCTTCATTCCATCGGTAACAATAACGCTTCAATTTCTGATCCACCGTTCCCTTGCATCTAGTCACACAGGTTGATCGTTTAAGTAGTTTACGGCTTCATCGCATTTAAGAATGTATAGTGCACCTGATGTAGGGCGGGACTTCTCTGAATGGGACATACGAAAGGTGCATTCGAGCAACAACTGAATCTGCCACTATCAATAGGCAAACCATAACTCTGATGGTCTGAGGGACAAATCTTATTTTCTGCAGTTGTCTCGGAATAACAAGACAGCGGCAAGAGTAGAACGAAGATTAAATTTTCTTTAAAGACAGATCATCTCTATTTCGGATTAAAATAGTCCATGAAGTTACTCGGAGAACCTGACCCGTTTAGACAAGCTAAGTCTAATAATTTTAAATCGTTTTCGTCAAAAGAAAATTACAGTAAGACACTTTGCTTGAAGAACCCCATTTGGGTAGAAGACGCGGTGGTAATAAATCACGCATGAAATGGCCTATTTCCGATCACTGCAAGCGAGCTATGAAACATGGCGAAAATCTGGCTCTTTACCAACGTGAACAGACAGACATGCGTCTGCTACGCGAAAACGCCTAAAGGCACAATACAGAAGAAGTAGATTTGAAATTTCCAGAATTAATTAGCACAAGTAACTGTAGCCACATGGCTTAACGAAAGAAACGGCAAATTAATCCGAGCTCCATACAAGAACCGGTTACCCCCAATTTATGAAAGCCTCTGATATATATGACAAGGTCGTTTCGAATGGTTGAAAACGGTGTTCCGGAACAAATGTTGTACCTTGGAGCAAAACGTGGTGCTAGCCACATGGCAGAGTTGCTTTTTCAGACAGGCAAAAAACAGAGATGACGAAAACGGACGAGTACCAAAAAATTTTTATGAAAAAGTTGTTCACAAAAAAGTGATAGAAACTGCAGAATTTCATATGCTGAAACTTGAGATATGCTGGGGAAAATGAACATAAGAGACCCAAGCAAATCGTTTACTAAGCTGGTTAAATTATTCTTAATTTACAGCCTCAGCTACTGAGAGAAAATTCCAGCGCAGAACACATCACATTAATAAACTCACCCACAAGACAGCAAACTCTCAAAGAATCAGTGGATCATTCTATGAATAGAAGACATTGGAAGAATCTCCAACGAAAGATCAGTTAACATTAATTGAAGTAGTACTTCATACGGCAACAAATGATTAATGCAATTTTATTGACAATTCGTTTAGTAGTCCATTGTTCAATTCGATTAACAGACGTGGTTTCTGCCTTCTATGACGCCAAAAGAAGATGGGCCGGCCACATGGCTCGCCTAAAAACAATCGATAAACGTCAAATAATAATAAACTGGGCTGTACTGGACCTTCAACGGCAAGAAGATGCTGGGACCGTCCCACGGTCAGATTATTTGGCCAACGGTTGAAGAAGAAAGTGGAGAACAGGGAGAACCAGAGGAACGCCAAATTGGGTTCATCGCGCACCCATGATGAAGACATGTCGGAAAACGAATTATCTATTTCATAAAAAGCATGAATAAAACTACGAAATGCAATGAAAAGTAGAAAAGCTCAGGAAACATATTACTCCAATCGACAGCTAGAGCAGCGCGGTAAACCACACCAATTTAAAAAGCTTGTCATGGCAACGAAGGTTTTCAGAAAAGCCGAGGACGAGCCCCTACTGAATGTCGAACTCACACTCATGATACGTTTGAGCTCATCTCCAGTTCTAAAGAAGTTCATGCAAACAATTTATGAGAACTCATTTTTTAGTCGTTTACATGTTGCCCTAAAACGCGATTAACGGCCACTGCCAATGAGCAGAAGAGTGCCACAAAAGCACACTTCCTCAACGGCTTGAAGAAAATTTATAATCATATAAAAAATAACTCGTTCTTGCCAAAGAAGTGTTTTGTTTTCTTCAACACAAGAGTACACAATGTACAGAACAAAGTACAACAGAGTCATGCACTACAACAGAGTACAGAATTTAAGCTTCCAACTGACACAATGACAGACTGGCCACCGTTCTGTTATTCCGCATGTGGCTGTCATGGCCAACTTATGCTATTCAGCTGACAACAGTCAGTGACAGTATTTACACAAGCAATCTCATCATGGCTAACCATTAGCATTCTACAATTTTTCTAAATTTTGTTAAGCAACAATTCATTCAACTTATTCAGCAGTCCTATGCACTGCATTGGCAAGAACACTTTCAGCACAACATTTTCCTCTATTTCTGTCGTTCTTTGCCACAGTCATCTCTTCGTTCATCAGTTTTGCAGGACAGTCCAACGGACAGAGCTTGAAAATTGCAGACGTCCATCCGTGGTCAGTAAATCGAGCTACGTGTCCAAGTAATTGCGTTTTTCTCCTTCTGCATCCCACTACGTTTGAGAAGATGGTAATGGAGAGAAAATACTAAGATTCTCCATACCATGGTTCATTCTGTTACAAACAGATGCTGTTCCTGTTATTGGTTTTCCATTTAGCCATTGTATACTTTTCGATGAAAGCGAATGTTGCCGTGAGTAAGCAGTACTCAATGTCGCCAATGGTGGATGGCACTAGCGAGACGTCCTACACAGTTCGATTGGTGTCAAACAGTATGCAGCCGACTTGCTTGTTCGTACGCTTGGTGGGTGCCATGTTAATGGGCACTTTCCCGTCTCCGCAAGAATTATCTGTCTTTCTGCATTTAAACTTCAATTACCTGTGCCATACTTACGAACAAGCTTTTCGCCTTCTTTCAATCGTCCTCAATTTCGCGTGGAAGCTCCAATACTGATGATATATGTGGATTTTTGACACAGTTAATTCTGAAATTTTGCACAGAAGTCAGCTCTTCATTTGTACTTATTAGAACATGATTTTGGATCATACTGATTGCACGATTTCGCATCAGCTGTAGATAGGGCACTCTGAAATGCGATCGCTTCTGTAGATAGGATGATGACTCTTGAAGATTATTCCTGGTTGACGACTAACCTGATTCCACTAACGGTCTTCACAACTTATCCCAGCTTAATGATGCTGTGTACATCCATTTATTCTCGAACTACTTGTATCTTTGCGCATCACCGAGATCGTTCATGTGGCACGTTGTATTGGACCTTTTAGACATTAGACAGTTAATCAATTATTCTGTCGTTCATGTACTACAGTTGTAGGAGCACACCGTGAGGAAATTCCTCGTTCATTTTCGTTTCAGCGGCCTGACACCGGAGATTCGTAGCAACCTCACATTGCATCGATGGAACTCTGAAACATGCGAGGTAAGACCTTTCGGGGACCATTTCCATGTGCCGCTTCCTGCAGCCCAGAACCTTCATGACGTGGATGAACCTGCCAAAAAATGTATTGCGCTATCATCGTTGTCAGGCAGCGAAAAACACCGCTGTGTAATTCTGAGGCATTAAGATAGGAATCATTTCCATGACATTTAACTATCAGAAAATAAACGACAGCACCTTCACAAGTACTATATGGACGCATATGATACTGTCATGCCTGATCCTTGACCAATGAGCCGCGTCTTACTTTCGCAACCAGCGACAATAAAATAAATAAAATTTTAATAAGCTTTGCACTTACGTAGTGGTAAATACCAATGATCTGCTAAATCTATTCAAGCCGCATAAATTTGTTCGTGTCACTGCCGCAGCCTTCCATTTATTGTAGATTCAATCGTAGAACGAAATAGCTAAACGCAACGGAATTCGTCAGAATCTTAAAACAGATGCCATTAAAAGAATTTAGTATTGTACACTTAAAGCCCAAATGAACCTAAGCGTTTACAACTCGCAAAGAACAGTCGTACTTTTTCAAATCAAAATTTGTTCCGATCTGACAACAGCATTAGCAAAAACCTTTTCTATTGCACTAGGCTGTTTGGTAGGTGCAAGCATAACATTATATAAGAAATAATTAACTCCACATGCATGAAAAGGCGCCTGACGAGAAAAGAAACATTCATTTCTCATGGTGTGTGGAACTCTAAATGTGTAGAACACCATCATCACTGAAACTGACATCGATAAGCATATGGCAAACATTACATTTCACAGGAGATAATGAAATGAATATCAATACATACCATAGTTACTAAACCTGGTG